AGAGACATGAGTCTGCAGTTAAATCTCAGACGGGAGCTCAGACATTCAAATGGGCGCTGCCCTCTGAGGCAGAGCCTCGGGAGGGATCTGTTTTAAACATGCTCCAGGACTTCTGGAAATTCTCTCTGGAAAACTGGGCCCATCTTGAGCCAACACCAGCTGTCCTCCTAACCTGCCGCCTCTGCTTCCACCGGAAGTGGCGGCGTCTGACCTGGTTAGCTGCCTGGCCTTCCGGCCTGGCTTCGCGCGGGTCTCACTATCTCCACACGTCAGGTCCCTTTCCAGGCCGGGAAGGCGGCTTCCCGAGAGCAAGTCTGAAGGAGCAGGCGGCTCCTTGGAAGGAAGCGGGTGGGCGTGGCTGGGTAGGTGCTGGGATGGATGGTGGTTAACTGTCTGTCAGGAGTGAGGCCCGGGGAACAGAAGAGAGAGGCAGCTGCGCCCTAGGCCAGAGTTGGGGGCGCACCCCAGCTTCCTCTTCGGGAGGCTCATTGCTTCTAACCACTTCTGTCTGCCAGCCTGATCACCCGCTAACCAGTCCTCTGCCAGCCTGATTAATGCCTAACTGCTCCCCTGCCAGCCTGATTGCCCCTAACTGCCCTCCCTTTTAGGCCTGGGTCCCCCACAACTGCCCTTCCCTGCAGGCCCAGTTGCTCCCAACTTCCCTCCTCTGCAAGCCTGGTCATCCCTAACTGCCCTCCCTGTAGGTTTGATCACTCCCAACTGCCTTCCTGATTGCTTCTAACCACTTCTGTCTGCAGGCCTGGTCACCCCCTAACCACTCCCCTGCTAGCCTGGTTAATGCCTAACTGCTCCGGCTCAGTGTGGCCCCAGGGAATGGGGTCCTGGACTCTGGCTGGTGACCTTGGCCTACTCTCTCCTAGGTCTGAGCATTTCACGGGGAAGACTGGGGAAGCACAGTGAGAGGAGAGACTGCATCTGCTCTAGCTCCAGGGCCCATTTCTGGTGTTTTCAGTAACCACCACTCAGAGAATGCCTGGTGTGAGCACCAGCTGTGCGCTAAACAGTTTTTTAATTTTAAAAAAATATATATGTATTTTTATTGATTTCAGAGAGAAAGGGAAAGGGACAGAGAGAAACATCAATGATAAGAGAATCATCAACCAGCTGTCTCCTGTACGCCCCACACTGGGGATCAAGCCAGGCATGTGCCCTGTCCAGGAATTGAACCGTGGCCTCCTGGTTCATAGGTCGACACTCAAGCGCTGAGCCACACAGCCAGGCCGCGCGCTGTCTGTCACATACACAATCTCCTCTCCACAAGCCTGTGAGGTTAGACTGCTTATGGGCCCATTATGCAGATGAGGAAACTGATGTTCAGAGAGATTAATGATTTGCCCAAGCCAAGCAGCAAAGAAGGGGCAGAGCCACGTCTATCTGACCCAGATCCCGATGTGAACGTGGCTGCGGTCGGCTGTCACCTCCCACCACCCACCACCCACGCTGCGCAGTTCTCAGGCCCACCCAGGCGCTGCTTGGGGAAAGGAATTGTTCCAGAATCATGGCTCCCTGCCCCTGTCGTCATTCCGAGGCAGAGGGATGCCCTGAGTTCGACAGCCATCAGACAGGCACCCCTCCGGTCACCGAGTGACCACCGAGGACGTTGACCTCTGCAGTCGGGCTGCCAACCTCTTCTCACCTCCTTGGGAACTGGCGTCCCTCACAGCTTCCCGAGGAGCTGGGGCCTCGGCCCCTGGCTGAGAACAGTGTGGACTGAAGCCAGCTCTCATTAGAGCATTCTCATCAGTCAGAAGATTTTTTCTCAAATGTTATTTTCTGGGGTTTGTTTAAATATAAAATTATACTATTCATCCATTTATTCAAAAGTATTTTGAAACTGGTTGGCTCAATGGATAGAGCATCTCCTTGGGGACTGACGGGTCCCGGGTTCGATTCCGGTCAAGGGCACGTACCTTGGTTGCGGGCATATCCCCAGTGGGGGGTGTGCAAGAGGCAGCTGATCGATGACTCTCTCTCATCGATGTTTCTAACTCTGTATCTCTTTCCCTTCCTCTCTGTACAAAATCAATAAAATATATATTTTTTAAAAAAGTATTTGTTATGCATCTATTTACTCTGCCCCGGGGACCTTAGTGAACAAAACAAGATGGTTGCTCTTATGCAGTTTAGCTTGCTTTCCAGGTAGGTTTTAGACATCCTCCGGAGCTCACCGCCTGCCAGAGAGAGGGCGCTGCTCACCCAGAGACTCGTGCTGGCGTCTGTCCGGCCCAGACGGCATCCCTCGGTGGCATTCCCCACAGAAGCCTGTCCCTGAGCTCACACTGCTCAAAGGAGTCTGCTGATAGGAAGCTCCTTCCCGTTCCCGGAGCCCTGGCCTCTGTCCTCCTTCAGCTCCACCAGGGGTTCAGGACACCACGAGTGTCAGGAGAGGTGGCACCCCAGCACACTTTCCTGGCCCCCCAAAATATGCCAGGGAAAGGCCTGAACAGAATTTGATTTGCTTTTCTGCCCGGCGGTCACCTGCAGGGGGTGGGGCCCAGGCCCAGGCTTTGGCCCTCCCTGCCATTGCCTGGGGCTCCAGAAGGTCTGCCCAGGACCGCCAATGAGCCCACATGTCTGGGCTCCCTGCCCCTGTCATCATTCCCACACTGCAGGCCCCAGTGAATCCCCGGGGGAGAGATAATGGCGCTGCTGTTGAAAAGAATATGATAATAAAGCTCATTCAATCTCTTGTGTCAACACTCCAGTCGAATAAGAGGCCAAAGAGCCAGGCTGGCCAGCCGGGGAAGGTTAATATTGACTCAGGCTCCTCTCTCAGGCCCAGCTCCAGCCTGCACACGCAGAGCTGTGGTCCAGCGGCAGCAGCTCAAGCCACAGCTCTCTGACCTCTGCTCGCTGTCCTCGGAATTCTCACCCCTCCTGGGCCCACGCGCTCTGCTCTCCGGGGCGCGTGGTTATCTCCGAGGGAAGAGAGAAGAATGGCCCTCCTGGAGGGCTGCAGGCCAGGCCCCGCCTCACCAGCCCAGATTCCCAACAGCCTCCGCATGCAGAGGCCTGAATGCCACAGAGCTCTGAGTGCCTACAGGAACCTCTGGAGTCCCCTCCTCACAAAATTAGGTCCCCAATCTCTCTCTCTCTCCCTCCCTCCCTCCCTCCCTCTCTCTCTCTCTCTCTCTCTCACACACACACACACACACAGTTATATTTTTGCAGCCCTTAACTTTCTATATTTACTTAAGTTTTCCTCCTCTCTTTATATTCACAAAACCACTGTGACTTGGGCCAAACCTGCCTTACTGGGTGCATTTTAAAGATGACAGGAGCTGGGAGAGGAAGAAGGGGAGGAGAACGGGATACACACTGTACAGTCAGGCACTGAGCTGAGTGGGTGGTTTTACTAGTGCATTTAATGGTCCCGGCTCTACGAGGGAGACATTATAAACTGTTTCACACGTGAAGAAACCAAGGCTTGGAGAGAAGTAATTGTTTGGGATGGTTCCGTGTGGAGTTGGGATTCAAACTCAGATCTCTCCAGCTCCAAGCTCCAAGCTCCTCTCCTCCGTCACGCCGAGAGAAGTTAAATGACCTGTCTCAGATCACACAGCTACTCAGAGATAGGATCGAAAGCCTCACGCCAGAGGCTCCTCCGACCCCAGGCCACACCTGTGACCAGGGCCACCCAGGAACCTGTGATCACATGTGACATATATGGGTTCAAATCCAGATCCCCTTCCAGAAACAGCCCCTTCCCCAGGCCACCTCCCTACCTGCCCCACGGCCCCCGCCTTTACTGTGCTCCCGCTGCTTTGCTCTCACAGCCTCACAATGTCCTGCCACACAGTCAGACCTGCTCCTCGTTCTCCAAGCGAGGAGAGCTCAGGTGGCGCCAGCTTTTCTGATCCTAACAAGCGGAGGCGAGACATGCTCCCTTGCTAGGCTGTGCTCACATCTCGCTATGTCTCCTCACAACCAGCCCATGAGGAAAGCACGATCCTCCCCGAGGACATTCAAGTTGGGAGAGACATAAAGCAACTTGACTCAGTGATCGAAGGTTAAGTGGGGATTTGAACCCAGCCACTTCTGGTTCCAATGGGTGCTCGGCCACTGTGCCCAGCGTGAGCACTCCCAGCATCGCAGTGTATGCTGTGACTGCCACAGAAGACCTGAGCGCACACAGTCCCAACCACACTCACACACCTAGAGAAGCATGACAGAAGAGCCTAAGACAGTGGTCGGCAAACCGAGGCTCGACAGCCACAGGCGGCTCTTTGGCCCCTTGCGTGTGGCTCTTCCACAAAAAACCATGTGCGGGCGCCGATTGAAACTTCGTGGCCCATGTGCAGAAGTCGGTTTTCGGCCTGGAAGAAGTGGCGTTAGAACACTCAAGGGGCCAAAGAGCCGCATGTGGCTCTGGGCCTGTGGTTTGCCGACCACGGGCCTGAAGGGGCAGGATACAGGGAGCACCGTCCGTCCATGCCTTGGGTACATCCCGGGTTGGACACTGCACACCGGGCGCCAGAACACCTGGCGGGGTTTGAGCAGGCTGGAGATCCGGGACGCACTGCTCAGCAGGGCGCTGGGCCTGCTACTGCCCTTCCTGCTCCGGAGCCTCTTTCCCAAGCGGGAGTTCAGTGCGGGGCTTGGTGACACTGCCTTCCCCAGACAGGCATCAGACCGGGTGACAGGAGGGGCTGGGCCAGAGCTGGGCGGGGCGTTCGGAGCTGGTAGCCTGCTGCGGGCTGAGGCGATGGAAGTAACAACACGCATCCACTAAGGACTGAGAGAGGGCACCTCCGAGGGACCGCTGCGCCCTGGTTCCATTCTGGAAAGGGCATCTGCCCAAGTTGCAGGCTCAAACCCCCCCTCCCCCCCGCAGGGTGCCTGGGGGAGGCAACCGATCAATATCACTGTACCAAGAACGGGGTGGCCCAAGAAGATGTCACTGCCCCTCCACCCCACCCCTCACGCTGGCCTCCAAAAGGCTCCTGGACACCCTGCCAGGGCTGGCGGCCCTCACTCACCTCCGCGGGCTGCCTTCCTTGCTTCCTCTTCTTCCCGGCTCCTTACCGTCAGGGGGCAGAGCTCCAGGCACCAGGAGAGGGAAGACTAAGGGCCTTCCCGGCCGGTCCCGTGGGCCTGGGGGGAACAGATGAGACAGTCATTGTGACAAATGCGATACGTGTCCCCCTGTACCCACTGCGCGTGGCCGCCGTCCGGAGCGCTCACACCGCCCGCACGGCCTCCCCACCAGCCACGGGCTCAGGTGCAGGGGCGGCGGGATCTCCAGGCGCACGGGGCGGGGGGCGGTACGCACGGCGCCTGGGGTCCCCCTCCCGCCACACGGGGAGCCACAGCAGCCTCAGGGCCCCCTCGCGGCGCCGATGGGGCGGGGATCCTCAGCCCGCGGGGAGCGCGGGGCGCCCTCGGGGAGGACGTGCGGCCAGCGGAGCCCGGCCTCCCGCCCTGCGCTCCCCCGCGCCGCGGCCCGGCCTCCGGGGAGTGAGAACCGGGAAAGGGGGCCGCGCGCACCGGGAGGCCTGTCCGATCGCCCCGGCCCCGGCCCCGGCCCCGGCCCGGGAGGATCGCCATTCCCGGGGTTGGCGGGGGCACCCACCTGCGAGCAGAAAGCCTGGAGCCTCGGAGAGGCAGGAGCCGGCCCGCCCTCCGCAGGAGGGACCGGGGCGCTGGAACGCGAGGGGAGGCCGCGCTTACATGTCGGTGCAGCGCCGGCCTCACCTGGGCCGCGAGCTGGAGTTTAGGGTGTGGCTCCAGGGAGGGCTCGGCAGCGAGCAGAGCCCGGGGAAAAGCAGCCCCAGGACGTGGGGGTCCGAGGCCGTGGCCAGGAGCCTCTGTGCCCCAGGGGCGCTTCCACGCTCAACCCTTTCTAACCGTGGCTCCCGCTTCCCCAGGCCCTTGGCCTTGGACCCTGCCCCCAGCCCTGCCCCCGGTGACCTGCTGGTGGCTCGCTGTCCCTGGGGGTTCCTGGCTGCCTGGCCAAGGCCTGACCTGGCTACCCGCTGTGCCTCTCTCTGTGCAATTAGGCTCACTCATTTGCATTGCAGATGCTCCAGGCGGCCTCCTTCCAGACCCCTCGGAGAGCCCCAGCCGGAGTCCTGCCCCCTGCCACCTTGGCCTGTCAGTCTGTCTGTTCAAGGCCCTAAGACTGTCTGGGGCAGGAAAGCTGGAATTAAAGAGATGCCAATTTCCTTGTCAGACCCCGCTCGGTTCCGAGAACCCTCTGGTTTCAGGTGGGGGGCCTCTGGGGGAAAGACAGCTGTCAGGAGCCCTGCACCCAAACAGGGAGGGGCTCGGCTCACAGGAGCATCTGCCCGTGGCCATACCCAGCAGTGCCCTGGCCCAGGAGCAGGATGGCTGCCCTCTGCCCTGCGCCCTCTGGCTCGGAGGGTGGCTTCTCCCTTCTCCCGTGTATTAATGGTGTGGGGGAGGGGGAGGGACCGCCGGCCTGTCTCTTCCCCAGACAAGGAAGTGAGAAGACCCTTGCTGCCCCAGACTTGGGCCCCCAGAAAGGCCTGGGCCCGAATGAGTGTTGAGAGGATTCTGGCTTGGAAATCAGCACGTCTGCACTCAAAATGGCTCCCCAAGCAGGGGCTGGGTGGCTGTGAGTCACAGCCAGGGGACCCAGGACGCAGAGATTCTGTCATTGTGGGCACTTCACACTTCAGTTATTAATTGAGGTCTCTACTGTCATGGGTCATTTTTGTTCATTGATTCTTTAGATATATCAATGCAATTTGTGGATACAGCGTTTGCGTAGGGGCTCTGTTGCTTATGCACAGTTTACCCTAGACTCCTGCCAAACATAGCTAAGGTGGTGAGTGGGAATTCGCGGGCCCCAAACAGGCCCGCACCCTGCTGGCTGCACCGCAGCCCCGGTGCCCTCAGCCTCTGGAGATGCTGGCCTGGGAGCGGGGGCAGTGGCAGGCAGGTCTCCTCTCCTCTGTGTCTTTCCCAAGGGGATTCTTTTTCTTTCCTCAGGCCACCCCTTAGGCCCAACTCTGTTAGTCAACCTCTGACCTCCCCCTCCTCCACCCTCTCTCCACCCCCCACCAGGAAGCTGCCTGCGGAGCCAAAGACAGAGGGGCCTGTGATACAAACAGGGCTTTCCCCAAACTTAGTTACCCAGGGACACAGGACCTAAACTGCAATTTGCTGACTCACAGATGCACACAGGAATTCATTCTTTTTATACAAATACCTTATATATCAAAACAACACCTCCAAGCAGTACTTCTCAACTGTTGAACTATGATAAAGGGTGAACATTAGAATATTATCAAAAGTGAACTGGTATTTAACTTGGTTTGAATCCAGGCTTGGGTATCCCATAAAGGCTACTAGCCAAGTCCCATCCCATCCTGTAAGGAGTGAGTCTAGGTGACCCTAAGGTCCTCCTACCTTTGGGAACATCGATGGGGTTTGGGGAGAGTCAGAGACTCCCAAATAAGACTGACCATGGAGGTAGTGAATCCCTCATCACTGAAGCCCCCAGATAACTACCAGGCAGGTATGCTAGAGCAAAGGGTCCCCTATTGAACACTAGGCTAGACGAGAGGTCCTCCCAGCCCATCACAACCCCAGGTTTCTGCACTTCTGGCCGCATCTACAGGTGGGTCAGTGCCCCTGGGCTGGGTGACCTCTGCGAATTAGGAAGGTGGGTCCTGAGTGGTTAATTCCTGTGAGTGACTCCCCGCCTCTCTATCCTCCTCTGTTTCACAGCCAACGCAGCCCTGTCCAGGATGAGAGGGCAGGACAGGAATGCAGGAAGAGGCAGGAACAGCCTGGAGGACAGCGTCTCCTCCAGCAGCCATGCGCCTCCCTCTGGCCCGTTCCCATGGCGCTGTGCTGGGCACCGGGAAAGGGACCAGGCACACCCTCCTCTGCAGAGCCCTGGCAGCTGGCAGAGGCATGCAGGTTGAGGGAGTTGTCCATATGCTGCCATTCTGCAAACTGGGCAGGAGCTCTAGACGGGGACACGGAGAACTGACATTTCGCCATGGCCGGTGGCTCTTGGAGCCCCACCAGCGCTGGGGCCTGGGCCAACCCCAACTGTCTGGGAAGGCACGCGGGGCGGGGCGGGGCGGGCAGGCACTTCCTGGCTCCTTCTTCGCCTGTGGCTGTTGGGGCCTGCTGCCCCGTCTGAGCACCTTCAGCCAGGGCTGGGAGGCTGGGTTCGGACCAAAGGGAAAAGATACGGATCGACTTGTGGTTTAGAAACACAAACACATTATCCTTTCCCTGCACTTTCTGCTGCAGGACTTGAAAAGCTGCCTGGGGATCAGGAAGACTGCTGACAAGCTCACTCTCTCCCTGGCTCCTTTCTCTGGAGGACGCTGCCTCCTCCAGTAATTATCATACGCTTCCGGTGGGCCAGGCCCCGTGCTAAGCTATTCATTCACACACATGACCTCACTCCAGTCTTTGCCACAACCTTGGCACAGGAGAATGATATCATTGCTCTCATTTTACAGACAAGGAAACTGAGGCTCAGAGTGGTTAAGGAACCAGCTCAGGGTCTTGTGGTGAGTGAGTGGTGGAGCCAGAATTTCAGACCAAGTGTATCCCCCCCAAAACTGTTTTAACACCATCCTGCTCAGAGGCCCTGGTGCCAAGGACTGTCTGACATGACTTGACCAGGTCGGGTTAAGTTCCTGGGAACAGTTGCAGGATGGGTAAGTCATGTGACACCGAGAGGTGTGTGTGGGGGTAACCCTCCCTCATTTCTGATGAGGGCATAGGAGTGGGGTTCCCTCAGCCTGGCCTGCACCCTCTCACAATCCGGGACCCCTCGGGGGATGACCAACTGCCTGTTTAGGCATGATCCCACTGTGGGATTGGGCCTAAACCAGCAGGTGGGCATCCCTCTCGCAATCTGGGACTGCTGGCTCTTAACCACTGACCCACCTGCCTGATTGCCCCTAACCACTCGCCTTCCTGCCTGATTGTCCCAATTGCCTCTGCCTGCCTGCCTGATCGCCCCTAACCACTCATCTGCCTGCCTGATTTCCCTTAACCACCTCTGCCTCAGCCCCTGCCACTGCAGCTCGGTCCAGAAGAACATCCAGAATGACATCCAGAAGGTCACTCATTTGTCCAGTCTAATTAGCATAGTATGCTTTTATTATTATAGATTCCTTCATTTCCCTCTCCTCCAGGCTGCCCTTCCTATTCTTGGGGTAGCCCGAGCAATGTCCCTCCCCCTGATAGTACCACATCTCTCTCTGCTGATGAGGCCGAGAGGCAGGTGACCAGCTCTGAGGGCCTGGGAGCCTGAGTTGAGGGAGTTAGCATTGCCTAGCCCGTGGGGTCCTGAGGCAGGGCGGGGGCGGGAGGGGGGTTTGGGGGTGTGAGAAACTAGCTGCAGAGAACCTGGCTTCCTGCACACTTGGAGCCCTTCTGTCTCTCTAGCCTGCCAGCACGTCTCAGCCTCAGCTTCTTGATGTGTATAACGGGCCGACCTCTGTTCAGAAGGGGGGGGGAATGATGGGATCTAGGACATCACTTGGGTCCCGGAGGATCAGCCCCCCAAACGGGGTGAAAGGTTCTTGACCCTCGGCCCTCACACTGCTGCCGGGCCATGCACCCTGTAGCTGCCACGGGGAGCCCGGAGCCCCGTTTGGACGGCCCAGGGGCAGGATGCCAGGGTGCCTCCAGGAGGGCTTGCCAAGAAGTCCGTTCTATAGGTCTAGTCCCTCCAGATCCTGAGAGAGAACCCAGCCCAAGGGCAGCACTCTCCGGGCCCAGTTAGGCATTTGGGGAACGTCCATGGGGCTCCCCTGCCTGGCTGCTGCCTGAACCTCAGGAGAGGGAAGCGCCCACATCAGGAAGCCTCTAGCCTCTCTCCACCTTTTCCTCAAGCTCTGCACCGTGATAGGCTCCCTATGACACAGGCCAGTCCTCCCCAAACGCAAACTGTCCCTGGGTCCAAACTTGCTGGACTGTCGCAAAGGGGCCTGGTGACCTGGACAAGCCACTCAGGTGCAGGGGCCGCTGTCCACCTACCTCAAGGGGCTGGAGCAGGGGCAGCGCAGGCTGGGGCACCCTTCCCAGGTGCGAGGGCCGATAAGCCTCCCCCCACCCCCCACCCCCCGGGGGAGGGCTGGGGAAAGAGAGAGTCA